AACTAGTCAACAATTAATTTAAAGAAAAGTAGGGCACCGTTACAGCATTGGGTAGAATTAGGTTAAGCTAGTCAAGTCAGGTTTGCCCCATTTTACAACAAAAAATCTTAATATTTTAGCTATTTCTTACGGTATTTGATCTTTTTGAACTTGGTATCGTTGGATTGGATAGGGAATTATAATTGCTAAATAAAAGTGTTCCTGACATTTTTTCATTAATTCAGCCATTTTTTAGTAATTTAAGTTTAAAAATTTAAAGTGGCTGCCATTTTGAAAATAAATGTCGGTAAAAAATAACTAATCCTTTTTGTGGATTCAGACCTTTATCCTGTAGAGCTCCATACCAAATTTTAACTTGATACATTAATCCATTACGGAAATAAAAATGTTGAAGTGAAAAAAACATAATGGCGGATAGCGGCTTAAAAAGTTGAAATAAAAAAAAATTTTACTGAGCATTTTTTATTTATTTTTGGTATGTAGAATATGGTTATGTATAGCTAGTTCCGGATTTATGTGACACCCTGTATAAAACCATAGCCTCCTCTAGGCTGCGGTGTTGATGTGTGGCAACATTGCAATGTTATGTCATGGTAATAACAGAAATAGGCTAACACAGTTTTTAACATTAACATTTCCTATAATGTCCATTAAACATTAGCTGTTTCAGTTTGACAGACAGCAGTGTTGCCACTTTTGTCTCGCCCCGGCATTGTATTAAAGGAAACTCATTAGTTGTCACCTGAACACCTATATCCCACCTACAATATCCAAGTGATTGGGATAGCCTATTGTTTTAATATATCTATAACACTTGTTAAACTTAAGTTTTTCTTAACCCTAGAAGTGCCCATATGACGAAATCGTCATATGCCTTTGCTTCCAAACCGCTCATATGACGAAAATCGTCATATAGTGTCAACTTTTTTTAAACAGCTCATAACTCATGTTTAACGGTTTCAAACCCAAATGATTTTGATACCAATCGAAAGATGAGATTCTAAACTTTCATTTTCATATATAAACAAACCTTATAACAATAATAAATTGATTTTATCGTTGTTAAAATTTGAATGAAAATTTAGGCGCAAGACTATTGTGAGGTTAGCGCGTCAATTTATTGCTCACTTTCAAAAAATCCTAGTGCCGATAATTTTGCTCAAATACCGTTGAGGTTGGTACCAATAGAAAGCTTGTTTTCTGGAGTTTATTTGCTTATCAAGAACTATGTTATATAATGTCAGACAGTTTGGGAAATGATTTTTAGAAATCAGCTGTCATTTGGAATGACGAAAATCGTCATATGGGCAAAGGCTTGTAAATCAATGAAGCATTGAGTTTTGGTGGTGTGTTTTTATATTCAAAGGTAGCCAGAAACATATTGCACAATTTGAACTACGCGGGGGTTGGCTGTGACGTCATCGGCAGGTCAAGATTGAGCTGTTTTGTTGTGAAACGGTGACGATCGCCATTACTCTTCTCTTTGTGCGTCTGACTGCTGTCGTTGTGTAATCGCGTTGTGCCGTCAGCTGTTCTCTGTTATTTTCTTTAGTATAATATGTGATAACTGTTTTGATCCACCTAATGATTGGTAATAGTTACCTACTATTTGTGAAAAATTGACTGAAATTTTGTGTTGGTGAAAATGAAACGATTGAGGCCTAGTGACACTTCAATGGACAGGCTACTTGGTGAACCAAGTGAATCGGAGAATGAAATCGCTACACCGACAGGAATAGACTGTGGCATTGCACCCTTCAGCGATGAAGAGGATGATGTTGATGACTCCTCCATTTCAACTCCTATGGCTACTTCCACACCGGAAAAACCACAACAAATGCCATGGTTCGATGCAGTACCCTCTACTAGTAAAGATGATGTACCCCCATCCTTCATAGGATACGAATCTAAGGGTAGGCCTAGGCTAAGTACAACATCAGGAACACTCTATGCCGCCATGAGGAAACAGTTGGAGGAGGAAAGTGATGTTTCCGAGGAGGAGTTACTAGACTTCAGTTCTGGAAGTGAGGACGATTATGTTCTAGATATCGACGAACTAGAAACGAGCAATAGGGAAGATATTCCTGCTGAGTTTCTTCCTAAGCCTAAAAAAAGAGGTTTTCCGAATTTGACCTGCTCCATCCGGACTCACCTCCCCATATCGCCAGGAAGAAGCCGTCGACCCGACCTGATCTACCCCCTCCAAGACCTTCGAAAACGTCTAACCTACCGGTACCAGTACTACCCCCTCCAAGATCTTTGAGACCCACTGGGCCTACTTCAGCACAGAGAGTGGAGCCTCCACCCCAACTCCACCTTGAAGAACACCTAAGAGAGATTGGGGCCAGCACCACCTCCCAGACAGCCGGCACTTGTGAGGGAACTCCCCGCCGGAGAGCCACAGCCCCCTGAAGAGCATGCTGCTAGGCATCAGGAGGGTCCACCCCGCCAGGAGATGCCCAGCGGTCCACCATGGGTCAGGATCTACCCCCCGGAGCAGCCAATCGAAGTAAGATCAAAATTTGCTAACACTGATTCTACTGGCCCTAAAGATTTTGGTTTTTTGTTGAACCCTATAGAATATTCGTACCTTTTCTTTACTGCGGCAATGTGGGACATGATTGTCACTGAAACAAACAATTATGCCAACAACAAACAAGGCATGGTCTGCTGGCCCCACATTCTCGCCTTCGCAAATGGACCGATGTGACAGTAAATGAAATGAAAAAATATTTTGCGATCCTATTTTCAATGGGCCTAACCCGGCGCAAGAACTTCACAGAGTACTAGAGTAACCACCCTGTACTGCACATACCTTTTTATTCCCGAACAATGCCATTCAAACGATTTCAAATGATAATGAGTATGTTTCATTTATCCTCTCGCGTATCTCCACCTCCAGGTCAAGAAGGGTATGACCCGTGGGTGAAGATACGGGATTTTATGGATATGTTGAATTACTCGTTCAAAAGATATTTTGTACCTCAGCAGGAGGTGTGTATTGATGAATCGATGATCGGCATGAAAAACCGGACAGCGTTTATTCAATACATGCCTAACAAAAGGCATTCCCGTTTCGGAAAAAAAAGTTCGAACTCTGTGATAGTGTGACGGGTTATGTCCTACAGAGTGTTTTATACAGTGGCAAATACTTTTTGTCTGGGGGCCCTGATCCCTTCACCCATAAAGTGGTTGCATATCTGCTTGGCAAAACTGGCTTACTTGACAAAGGCTACCACGTCTTGTTTACTGACAATTTTTACACAAAAATTTGCTTGGCCCGTTGGTTGACTGCTCGTAAAACCTATTTGACAGGGACGATCAACAAACGGAGCAAGGAATTGTCCAAAGCTGTGTTGGAAGCTGGTCTATGTAGAGGTAGGTGAAGCTTTGTATTTCAGAAAGAGGATTGAACCTTCGGGATCAGTCCTCCATGTGAAATTCAGGGAGCGTGAAACCAGGAAACCGGTTCACCTCATCACCACAGCTATACATGCTGAAAACACTGTAAATGTCAGTGCAAATGGCCGCCAGTCAGTAAAGCCTTGTGTCGTTCAGGTGTACAACAAATTTATGGGTGGCGTGGACATGAAAGACAAAAGTCTTTACCACCTGTCAATCGAGTCGTACTACTATAATATATTGGAGGAAAATAGTCGACAATTTTATTGACATGGCCATGCTGAACTCGTACATTTTGTACAAGTGTCAACATGGCAACAATTCAATGGCCAGATTCAAATTTATTGTCAGTATAATTACGGAACTGTCTTCCTCCAATATGCCTCCCCCTCTCCCGCCGATTGCTGGTCCGGGGGGCGATGTAATTGAAAGGCTACCTGGAACTAACACCAGAACACGTGTTGTCTGCCTGGAGAAGAACAAGAAGTCCAGATCTGGTTACTGGTGTCCAACTTGTAAGGCAGGAGTTCATAAGTTTTGTGAACCAGCGATGACACACAATCCAGAGCGATACATGCATCGTCCAGGTCGCAAAAATAACTAAAGCAAGGAAGGATAGGGTGCTAGTAAAATAATTTATTCCAAAATTTACAAAATTTTTAACATTTTTTATTCCATATCCGAATTTTCTGAGTCTTTGTGAATAAAATTAGTATGGATATGATGGGGCTAACTCTTATAGTTTATACACAGAGGCCGTTTGAAATAACATCTGCAGATGCAGTCCAATTACGGGAAAGCAGAGGCATATCTGTCATGTACGTCTCACATCTAAAATGCTTATAGAACTTTTATTTCTTATTATTTATATATACATATATATATATTCTTGTTTGGAAATGTATTCTCTGTAAGTATATGTACAAGTTATAATAACAAATTGCAATAAAAAAAACACATACAGCTTTGACTGACTAATTTTCCCGTATGACAAAACTTATATTTTCTTTTTCAACTCATATAACTATATTATCAACTTTACTTGTATAACATTTTTTGTTCATTAGAATTATATTTGATATTTTTTTCTGTGGTACAAAAAATCATAGTACATTTATAGATTTTTTACAATTTTACACATTTATTCCTGTAGATGGCATGATTTTTTTTCTTTTATCAAAAACCAAACATTTCTACGTAGGGAAATAAGTTGCCTACAGTTTGTATATCTTGGATTTTTGATAAATATTTTTTTGAAAAAATACCAAAACTCTACTTTTGAAAATTATGTAAAAAAAATTTTTGAAAATTTTATTTTTTAAACTGTAGCTAAAAAACCACCCCAAGGGATTTTGATTTTTTTTACTTTATTCAAAATCTCCTTTATTTTGTCTACAAAATGAGTATCTATATGACTAGGTTATCATAAATAGTATAGTCACTGCTAATTTTTAAATAAACCCCTTGCAAAATCGCAAAAATGGCTGGGACATTAATCCAAACTATCAGGGCAGTCCTAGGGTTAAAAGTTGGTTTAACCCTAAAATTAAATTCCCAGAGTACTAAACATAAGAATGTAAGCATAGAAGAAAACTTACTTAGGCACCATTTGCAGGTATCTCTCATATCCAATAGTATTCTTCCCGTAATCAATCTGCTTTTGTCTCCGACCTAATACTTGTTCATCTGTTTCTAACTCAATAGTTGGGGATTCAACTGGCACTACACTGAAATTATTAATATACAATTTATTGGTAATACAAAATTCACAACAGATCTACCACCTAGGTATCTACCATTCACAGGGATGTTTTTAACCTCAATCAACTTAAATAGTATATGAATCAATCTAAGAACAAAGATAGGTAATTTTAATTATTGACATTATTTTTGTTTCTAACACAAGTGGATTTTTATTTATTGGCCAGATGGTTTGCCTAATACAACAATGGTCACATTAGAGCCTCAGTAACGAATGTTGTATTATAACCATTGACTATTGTATACTGAAGTAGACATACCATCTATATGGACCAGCTGTCGCCAATTTTTTATTAAAAAAGAACCTTGTAATGTAAGTCACAAAATGCACTAGGGTCTAAAATACACAGACTTTTTAATAAAGTCAAACTAATGGAATGACTTAGGGTGAGCTATAGCAACTGGACCCATCAACATGGTGAGCAACAAATAAAGGTGGAAAATGGAATTTTAGACCCTAACGCATTCTGTGACTGGCTCACTACAAAACTATGTTCTTTTAGCGAATTTAGACCATGGGATCAGGGTTTTATGGGGTAAAAATAGGTTTTTCTCATTTTTGACCCTCAAAACACAAAATTTCCCAATTTCACTCTAGACAATTTTAAAGAGCTTAAAAAAACAATTCATTTAGTATACCAAAGTGTTTTTGTACAGTTATTGTTTACGGAGAAAATTCCAAAAGTTGCAAATTTAAAAAATTCCCATGTTATTCTTATGGACAACTAGCTTACCCCGTCGTGGCTTTGCTCCCGAAACATATGTGACCACTTAAGTTAATTAAACTAAGAGAGAACTTTTTCATTTACAACATTAACTGTCCTTCTACCAAAAGCTTCAGACTGCTCACTCTGAAACCACCTACATAATATTTTGGCCAGAAAACTATTCCCGCTGTTATCTGCTTTTACATAGATTTACTCGTATTAATAGTCAAAGGTTTACTGGTTTACATCCTTAAACCTTATTTTCCAATAGTACTGTCAGCTCTCATAACTTTATTAGGAAGTTTATGTCCTAACATTAAGTGACATAACAACCTTGCACGATGTTTTATTGTGGTTCTTATAACCCTCAAAGGGCCTAAATAGTTGCAGGTCTACAGTGTCCATGATGTTTTAACCTAGCAAAATGTACTCACATAAAAGTGTGTTTTCTCAATATTATTCTCAATATCTTCATAGTATGCATTTCTTTACAAAAAAACATAAAAAGCTATTAGTTTTTACATAATCCACCAAATCATGAACTGGGATCGTAAAGCAACATACTCATCTTGCATGATTGTGCCATTTTTATTAGCCTGGGGATGGAAGTGATAGAACTTACCAGGTAATTCTGATCTTCTCTCTTGAGCACCCATTATAAAAAATGATCATAAAGTAGTCTAGGGGTCCGCGGAATTGGCTAACTCTGGAACTCGCTAACCCCATGTTAAAAGCCCTATCTTCAAATTTGGTCGATGAGAGGAACTCGCTAACTTGTTCGGTTTCGGAATTGGCTAACTCCGGAACCCGCTAACCCGCTCTAGAGCCGGGTTAGCGAATTCCGTCCTCGTACGGAAGTCGCTAACTCGGTCCCTCGGCGGAACTCGCTAACTCCCAATCAGAAGCCTCGCGGGCCGTCCAATGGGAGCCAAGCACGAATATTTTTGGCCAGTGTTACCGAAAGTGTAGTACCTGTATAGTATCGGTACCATAATGTCGTATCCTACGATTAATTAGGAGTAAGAGCAACGTAGTTGATCAAATAAATATATTGAGAAGTATGTTTAACATTATTCTCATGATTATTAGGGTGAAAAATGCATTATAGTCTTACCATAGACTAACCAACACAAGTAAACTTTATATCCCATTGTAAACTTTGAAGCTCGTTTTTCGCGTCTAGATCATGTCCGACGACACTGATCGCTAGTGTCGCAAAAATTGTGTTTCTATTATTTCTAAAGTTAACTTCATAATTTGCTCTTTACTGTTTGGTTATATAACTAGGGGACGTGTTATTTTATTTTTTACTTTACAATCTGTTCTATTATATATTGAACAATAAGTAAATGCTATGTAATACAAAAAATTGACTTTGGAACATTAAAAATAGCTGTTAAGCACTCTCAACAACAAATTTTTCAATAAAAACACTTTACAAAAATCTGAAGGGCAGATCCAGAATAGATGGCCTCTTAAGTCTGTAAATTGTATCCATGTTGTTTAATAAGTTAAGAGCTAAATTATTTTGATGAGATTCCAATTTCGTAATATATCGTTCACTTATGGTCATGATTTCGTCCTTAACTGTAGGCATCTTAAGGTCTTGACTGGAAACAAGAAACAATTGTAAACAAAACACGACCTCTAAAGACAGTGCACCGGACAGAACTAACAATAAAAGTGTTTTCAGCTGATCCATAAGGATTAGAAATATACTAATATAAGGGAGTATGTTTTATATTTGGGCTTTTTACTTAAATAGTAGCTTAATGGTATGCAAAAAGATAAAAATGTACATTTAATTTGGATCTTTTACATGTTATGAAATATCTATTTTCATAGTTCTCCATTTGTTTCTTTTATTCGAATAAATACCATTTTTTGAACTTCTGCAAATAAATTATTGAGTTCGTATTTTATATACTGGGCTTGTAACCTTGAATCATAAAATTGAATCATAAATCATGATAAAATTTACACGTTAAACGTCAGTCCAGAAATACATTGTAGTGGTAATGTATTTTTAAAAAGAGCTATTGAATTTAAATACATATTTATCAATACAATATTATAAAGTTGTAGGCCTAATTTATTCATAGATTGCATTAAAAATTAGTCTATGCACAAATACAACTTGTAAATTTCTTTTATCGTAGGCTATTAGTGTAGAACCCGGGTCATCCTCTTAATTTTGTTTAATTAATATTAATTTTACGTCTTTCAGTAGGCCTACTTTTTAAAAGTCTGGAGTTTTTCTCCAGGCTGGTTCTAAATCGACCCAGGCGTTATTGTTTGTTACAATTCTTATGAATGGTGGCCATACCTAAAATTACTTGATCTTATCCAAAAACAAAGCTATTGTCTATTTAGTAGGTCAGTACCGCGGAACGGTGAACCGAGCAATGGTTTGGTATAGTTTATTTCGATTGTGAAACCAATGTAAAGGAAACCCAACTAAGAAAATCCGTCAATTTGTTGACTAAGAATCGTGAATTAAAATTACCCTGTCACGTTTTATTATATGAGTATTATATCTTCTCCTATTATTTACTAGTGGTGCTTAGGTGTACAATCTAAAAACTGTTTTAAAATATGTAACATTATTACTAAAAAATTCAACACATTTTAGAATTAGGCAACTATTGACTAGTAGGCCTACAATGCTTTGGCTTAAACTTTTAGGCCTAGATAAAAGCTTAGTCTAATGTCATATTTTTACACGTAAGTTGGACGATTCAACGACGAACATTTAATTTTAAATCTATGAATTAGTTATGAAAGTTACGATGGTTGATGACTGATGGTTGATGTTTGATGACATTACGATTAAATTTGTTTTCCGTGTTTGAGAACTAGCGTGTATTTTAGCTTAATTTCGTAAAGGTTTAATTATTTAGTACCTTTATATCTTATATCAATATTTTTCAACTCTATTATTTTCTTTTATACTTATGGCATTTATATTTAAGATCGAAATCATACACATTTAACTGGCCATTGTAGAGTTAAATAAAAAACACTTTTCATGAATTTTTAATAATTGTCTTTGAATTACTTTGGGCTAGTTATCTGTTAAAAGTGAAATTGATAACAAAAACAATTACATTTACTGTATCTTCATTGACACTGATATTTTGAAATACGGTAATGTACGATTATTTTGTCGTGCAAGGTTGGCAACGCTCCATGCAGTGGGCGCGGCCGGGTTAGCGACTTCCAGAGTAGCGAATTCCGCCGCGAGACAAAATCGAGTTAGCGGGTTCCGGAGTTAGCCAATTCCTGACTGAGACGGTTAGCCTGTTCCAGAGTTAGCCAGTTCCGACACATGACCGAGTTAGCGAGCTCCTGAGTTAGCCAATTCCTACGTCTCTAGTCTAGTGGTAGAAAAAGGCAGATACCATCCATAAAATATTAGGTGAAACTCGATTGCAAATAATCATTCCTTTGACATTGATATTCTGAACAAATTAAATAATATACCTACTGGTAATTAGCTGTGACAAAACCCCGTTTTTCCTCCATAAGAATAACATGGGATGGGAATTTAAAGGCCACTGGGGCAGAGCCCCAAGGGAATTTACCACGTTTCTCTTTTGATGGCTCATCTACAGACCAAGACCTTTCTTTAGAGACCCCTACCGAGTTTCTACACCCAGCCGTTCTCTCAAATTAGCTGTCACAAAGAAAAACAGTTTCAAATTAATATATAGATACCTACTGTTATTTAGTTGCTGAGAAACCGATCTTAAAAATATCTACAAATAGAGTACATATTGATTTTTTAATTTATTTACAGTAACGATTACAAAATAAATGGTATCAGATATCAGCAAACTGACACATACTTTCTCCCATAAGCTTGTAATCAACCTTTATCATGGGTAAACGGTGGGAGTAACTATGATATTCTATAGGGATGAATCACAAAAGTTGCAATAACTTTTGAACCGTAATTGTTACAGCAATGGGGGGTTGCACTATTTTTTTAGAATTATAAGGACCATAACACATTAATTTTAATCAAAACCGGCTTTTTTCCTAAAATCAAATATTTTGTTACTTTAGTTTTTTTTTTTGGGGGGGGGGGGAATGATATAAGTTACAATAACTTTGGAACCATATTTTTTACAGAAATGGAATTTGTACCATTTTGCTCAGAATTTAAGGACTATAACATACAAAATTTTCATCAAAATCGTTTGGGCCATTTTCGAGATAATCTGATTTTTCTGTTATTTTATGGAAAAATCACTAGG